ATATAAATAGTACGTAACGAACCGCATGATATACGATGAACGGACATGATTGATTGATCTTTTGAATCCCCACAAAGAGGATCCGTAGAGGATCCATGTTCTCTTATCTGATGCATATATTTATGGGTCTTTTAGTTTCGGTTTACACCTTTGCTTAATGATTCATGTCAGTGTTTTGGTGAGCATGCATCCTGTCTCTAGTACATTGCTTTGCTTATGTTGTGCATCAGTTAACCTAATCCAGAGTATCCACTTGTTAAGCAGCACTTTGATGCCCAAGCATTGCCTATAAGTGCTTTGTTTTTAATCATCGAATGCTTCCTGAGACTGGCTATACTAAATCAAATAATCAATCTTATACCAAGCGAGTTCTATGTATAGTTCCTGCTTTTGCCTCAATTTGACAGTGAACTATTTTAGTGGTGTCCTGGATTTTTTTTCTTGTGTCTTTTAATTTATAAAAAATTAATTTGTTATCTGTTAGAATGCTCCCATTGTTTGCTGGTCCCCAGTCGTGATTGAAGTAATTTGGTGATTCAGCTGATGGTTCTAGTAAAATTTGTTTCAGGGTTACGTTGTTTACCGTGTCCGTGTGAGGCGTGGTGGGCGCAAGAGGCCTGTTTCCAAGGGTATTGTATATGGAAAGCCCACAAACCAGGGTGTGACACAACTCAAGTTCCAGCGTAGCAAGAGGTCTGTTGCTGAGGAGCGTGCTGGGCGCAAGTTGGGAGGCCTCAGGGTTCTCAACTCATACTGGCTCAATGAGGTATGTGACTGACTTTCAACTTTTGAGTTAGTTGGATTTGGGCTTGGTGTTAGTTTGATTTTCCGAAGTCTTGCTTACAATTTTGTGTGCAATATTTGGATGCAGGATTCGACCTACAAGTACTTTGAGGTCATCATGGTTGATGTTGCTCACAATGCCATCAGGAACGACCCAAGAATCAACTGGCTCTGCAACCCTGTTCACAAGCACAGAGAGCTTCGTGGTCTTACTTCTGCTGGAAAGAAATACAGGGGTCTGCGTGGAAAGGGTCATCTGTACCACAAGAACCGACCTTCTCGCAGGGCAACATGGAAGAGAAATACCACCCTTTCACTCCGTCGTTACCGTTGATTTCAGTCATGTTACCTTATGTTTTGGCGTTATTTCTGCGTACTTTCAGGAAAGACTTATCTGTTATGGATTTGAAATTTTGGCAGTTGAAAACTTCAATCGTGTTTAATTTGAATGATTTACGGTCTTATTTGAAAGTCTTTTGGGACGTATTACCCCTATCTTACTCTTCCTGATTCTCTTGATATGTTTTAGTCATTGTTTTGGTAATGTTTTTACATCCTGTGATATCTATCATGCTTGATTCAGTGAAAGCTTGGTCAAACGAGTTAAAGAAAATTTCTTGTTCGGATTTTCGCCAACTTTACATTACAAGCTTTGATTTCTATTATTTTGTTCTTGAACCCCGAAAGGAGGATGCGAAAACCCAAACATGGTTTGAATATTGGATGAGAGTTATTGTTAAGAATCTATTTCTCTTGTTATTGCAACAGATTCAGATTCATGAGTGCAACTCACATGAGTTGGGTTCACCACTACCATGGCGTCCTGTACAAATAACACAATGATGTCCCAAGTTTTTCATCATAGGTGTTTAGAGGATCAGAAGGACGGTAGTGTTGATGAACCCGTTCCATGTAAATGCTTCGAATTCAAAGGTTGATGCCTTGTATTCTAGATTTATCAACTTATCCAGCAATTAGTGTCAGAACCTTGTTCGTTTCAAACTAAATCTAAATTGCAGGAAGGAGATTTAAGAACCTTTCTTGTTTGGCGGCCATTCGCTAACCATTTTATTTATAAAAACCGAAACTGATAACTGAAAATGAAATGGTTATTAAACCGCTCAGTAACTAAATTCTTAATACAGCAGCCAAGCCAGCATTAAGCTTAATCACCGTACAAAATCACAAAAACAAAACCCAAATTACAAATAATAACCCTAAACCAAAGTCCAACACAGAATCTAAGAAGTCAAAGTCGGAATCATCCCAGCCTCCCTAGCATAAGCAAAGATCCCACCCGCTCTAATAACAGGGCCCGCGTCCCCAATCGGCTTCAACGTGTACTCCTTCCCCGTCGTGTGATTGATCAGTCGGCTCTCGCTCAACTCAATGCTCACCACATCCCCCGTCTTGCACTCCTCGCAAACCCTACCCTCCGATTCCAGCGGGTACACCTCCCCCGTCGCCACCGAGTTCCTGAAAAATATCCGAGCGTACGACTCCGCCACCACCGCCGCCACTCCCGCCGCTCCCAGCGCCACCGGCGCGTGCTCCCGCGACGACCCGCACCCGAAGTTGGCGCCCCCGATTACGATCGAGTACTTGGACTTGGTCTCTCCCGGATCCACGAAGCGCGTGGAGTATGAGGCGGGGAGGCCGCAGAGCGCGTACGACCCGAGCTTCTCGTACTCGGAGGGGTTGGAGGGGACCAGGGTTAGGTACTCGGCGGGGATGATCTGGTCGGTGTCGATGTTGTCACCAACGACGTAGCAGAGGCCGTGGAATGTGGTGGACGGGGTTGTGGAGGCGGCTGCGCGTGTGGAGAAGGTGGCGCGTGAGATTGGGGTTTGGGTTTGGGGGGCGTGGGTTAGGGGTTTGATGGGGGTGGGGGATAGGGTAGGGAATTTGAGAAAGTTAGGGGTAGAGAGCGAGGATCTGTGGGAGGAGGTGGTGGTGGTGAGCCTAGGGTTTGGAGAGAGGGAGAGAGAGGCGGCGCCGGCCATCGTGGGGTTGGAAGTTTGCTCAAAACAGAGGAAGAAGACAAGTAAATGAAGTGGTTTATGCGTGTTCCAACTTTTAAGTAGGGATCGGAATATTTAAGTAGTGAAGGGTGGCTGAACGACACTAAAGATGTTGTCGTCTTATGTGGGGAAAAGGCAAATTTGGAGTTGAACTCCTCACATTTTTTTTTTTTTTTTTTTTAAAATATATCGATATTTTTAGATTAGAGAGAGGAGGTGTTCGGCTAAGTCATACAATGGGCAATCTAATTTGGCATTGAATTCGCCATTCACGATATTCAAACCTAATACCTCTTACTTTCAAGTGAAGAGGAATACTACCAGATCGTAGCACTAAACAACTGAACTCCTCACTCTTTTTGTATTCGCATTCCTATCTTCATGTCTTCTTGTGTATTTCACAAGGCCAAAGAGAAAAAAGTTGGAATATGATCCTTAACTAGGATTTTTTAATGATGGGAGTAATTAATGGTCTTGATTGACAAATTTGATTAGAGGGCTTCAACTTACAACAACAACAACAACAACAAAGCCTTTTCCCACTAAGTGGGGTCGGCTATATGAATCCTAGAACGCCATTGCGCTCGGTTTTGTGTCATGTCCTCCGTTAGAACCAAGTACTCTAAGTCTTTTCTTAGAGTCTCTTCCAAAGTTTTCCTAGGTCTTCCTCTACCCCTTTGGCCCTGAACCTCTGTCCCGTAGTCACATCTTCGAACCGGAGCGTCAGTAGGCCTTCTTTGCACATGTCCAAATCACCGGAACCGATTTTCTCTCATCTTTCCTTCAATTTCGGCCACTCCTACTTTACCTCGAATATCCTCATTTCCAATCTTATCATTTCTTGTGTGCCCACACATCCCACGAAGCATCCTCGTCTCCGCCACACCCATTTTGTGTACGTGTTGATGCTTCACCGCCCAACATTCTGTGCCATACAACATCGCTGGCCTTATTGCCGTCCTATAAAATTTTCCCTTGAGCTTCAGTGGCCTACGACGGTTACACAACCCGCCGGATGCACTCTTACACTTCATCTATCCAACTTCTATTCTATGGTTGAGATCTCTCTAATTCTCCGTTCTCTTGCATGATATATCCTAGGTAGCAAAAACGGTCGCTTTTTGTGATCTTCGCTAGATTGCTCCGATCATTAGTGTGGATAAGTATATAAATGGATATAGATAGGAAAGCAAACACAAGATGTACGTGGTTCACCCAGATTGGCTACGTCCACGGAATAGAGGAGTTCTCATTAATTGTGAAGGGTTTACACAAGTACATAGGTTCAAGCTTTCCTTTAGTGAGTACAGGTGAATGATTTAGTACAAATGACATTAGGAAATATTGTGGGAGAATGATCTCGTAATCACGAAACTTCTAAGTATCGGAATGTGGTATCGTCTTGACTTGCCTTATCTGTCTCACAGGTAGATGTGGCATCTTCTCTGGAAGTACTCTTCCTCCATCCAGGGGTGGTATCTTTAACTGGTGGAGATGCACAAGGTAATGTATCAATTTCACTTGAAGCTTACTTGTAGTTTCAGGCTTGGTCAAGCGCGATACAAACCATGTAGTAGGAGTCCCTCAAGTTGCCGAGCTAGGGGATTTGCTGAAAGAGGTGACAGACAAGGTAAGCAATCAGAGCTCCGGCTGATTGTTCACATTCTCCCTATCTTGCAGGCAGCATGAAGGATAAAGAGAAGAAAAATGAGAAGAGATGATATGGGATACTTTGTTCTGGATTCATTTTCATAAGGATTCGACGTGATCATGGAGTGCCGGTTGTCGACTACCTGACGCCCTCCCCCTCCTCCTTTATCCGGGCTTGGGACCGGCCATGTAAGACATAGGCGGAGTTTAGAGGGCTTCAACTTAACGGATTAAAAATCGTATCATTTAATTATAGAGTGCTAAAAAACTTACTTTTTTTATTCATTGAGAAGCGATTACTATGCACTTATTTTACTATTGATTTCTAGCCCATGAATTGGGAAAATCAAGAAATAAAAATAAATAAAATTGTGCAAAAGGTATTTTCTATTTGTTTTCCAACACCTTTCTACTCTTGTCACGCATATTTAGATTATTCAATCCAAATGGCATAGATGTACCGTGTAATGGGAGAAAACGACTTAGGAAGGATCTGAAAGGCCTGAATTGTTGATCAATTTGTGAGTACATTTGGTAGTCTAACCGTGCTCCAAAATTGCGTATATGTACACAAATCAAAATCTGAGTCATCGAGAACACTTTCTTTGTGGGATATTAGTTGAACCCGCAGCTTACGAGTACAGTGAAAAAAACCTCCAAAGTAACTTACGAGCATATAACAGAAAAGAGGAAGAATATAGCCTCAGCACTTGGCAGGTTCATGGATTTATGAATACAACTTCTTTCGGCACGGTATATTTACAATAATGTGGGTTTCTGCGGACTACAGCATTCCATGAATGTAGCTCTCTTTCAAATTATGTAGTGCTTCCCTGATCGAATCCTCATCCTGGCTCGAGTACTTCAAACATATCAGCCGCTGCACAACGTGGTAAGCCATCTGGACTGGATGGTATTGCAGGCAGTTTACTTCCATCCTCTTCACTTCCTATACATTGATATTTCAAATTTGCTGAGTCAACGGTTCACGATAAGGGGACTTCCGTACAGAAAACTACAAGTTACTCTTTCAACTAATTCAGATCCAGTGAAAAACAAGGCAAAAATCAAGGCAGGATGGCGTTTAAAACCCATATCAATGCCTACTACTTGTCAGCCAAATTTAAGTTGGGATTAACTTTAAGTTCTTGGTACTCAGAAAGAGATTACCTTCTCTGTGATCCTGGATGTGATGTTTCTGGCTGTTTCCATCACGGAGCTTGGTAATCCTGCCACTTCTGCTAATAGAAGGCCGTAGTGTGGAACATGTCTCGGCCCATCCTTCAGTTGAAACTAGGGGAAAAGACAAGACTTTCAGCAAAATAAACTCGCATAAAATGAATCGAATGAAAGAATAATGGAAAAACCACCTTGAACTCTAAACGATTATTTTTAATATCAACGTCAAAGTGAAGTATCTTCACATTTGGGTAGATGGTTACTAGTTCAGATAGGTTCTCCATATGAGTGGCAAATATTGTGTACCTGAGAAAGATTGAGAAGATGCTAAGTTATCTACTGCAAGTAAAATTTGGTCAAAAGGCTTTGCTAAAGCAATCATACAATGAATAGTGACAACAGGTACAAAATAACTAGATAGAACTAAAGAATAATATTTTTGTGTCCAACTTCTTTACGGTTTTAGTAATGGCGAAACTCCAACATATAAGTTTTCTTTTCTTCAATCTCTTATATGCTGCTATAAAGATCCCGGTTAAATGCCTGTCACAGAGAGCACAAAAAGGTCGTACCCAGTGCACAAGGCTCCCGCTTTACGCAGGGTCTGGGAGAGGTGAATGTCGGCTAGCCTTACCCCCATTTATGGAGAGGCTGCTCCCAAGTCTCGAACCCGAGACCTACCGCTCATGGGCGAAGGCACTTGCCATCGCACCAAGTGCGACCTCTTAAAAATTCCAGATTTTTGCAAGACACTAACAAATTTTACATTACGCCTCTGAAGTATTGAAATATATGTTGTAGTATGCCTATTTGTCTAGACTAGTCATATATGTATTCTAGTATATAGATAATTTGAGTTGCTTCTTTTCTGCAGTATCTTACGATTGAGAAGTTCAAAACCATGCGATGGCAAGTGCCTTCGCCCATGAGCGGTAGGTCTCGGGTTCGAGACTTGGGAGCAGCCTCTCTATAAATGGGGGTAAGGCTAGCCGACATTCACCTCTCCCAGACCCTGCGTAAAGCGGGAGCCTTGTGCACTGGGTACGACCTTTTTAGCATGATTGGAAGCATTACGCTTCAATTCATGTGATATGGAAACTCTCTATGTCAATGGTTAAAGGGACACATTCTAACGTTTCTATGTTCAAAACTCATAAGCTTTCATGTTACTAACCAACTGGAATCTTAGTAAATGGTAATTGAAAAAGAGGTTACGCTTTCAGTGATAATAAATGTTCGCAGCAGCTCCAAGCAATTGCAAATCCATCAGAGGAAGATGTGGCCCTCCCAAGTTCATCCATGATAACCAAACTCCTGTGTCCGAAAATAGACCGTATTTACTGATATTGTTTACATATTCAAAAGGCTAAATAATTTTGTAGTGCACTAACTACCTCTGGGAGACATTTTGCATGATAAAAGCTGTTTCTTTCATTTCTGTCATGAACTGTTGCAGGTAACAAGAAGATTCGTTTCTAAATATTCCATATTTAGTAGAGAGAAGCTGCATCGTTAAAACATATCACGACTCCATATTTCTGATACTGAAGTTGGAATATTTACCGTACTAGAGTTCGATTCAAGATTATCTACTGCACCCATCCTTGTAAATATACGATCAACAACCCTTAGAGTTGCAAAGCGAGCAGGTACATAGCAACCCATCTGAGCAAGAATAACTATAAGACACACTTGTTGAAGATAAGTGCTCTTTCCACTCCTGACAGAAATATCCTACAGTTAAACTCGAGCAAATGGTAACCTAATTGATCACATTTAAAAAAAAAAATTCATATATGTATATGTACACTCATCCATCTCAATTTCAGTCCAAACCTTTAAAGCTTATCACATGCATATTCTCACTGTTTGCTGGTAAAAACATGGTTTTCTTCTTCACTATTTAACCTGATCTCTAAAATAATAACTGGATGAAGCCGGCAATTTTTTTCCCTTCTCCAATTGTACTCTAATTTGCCTTTGTTATAATTAGAAGAATTAGTTTATGGTCACAAATAGAGACAATACATAATATTGAATGTAATGCTTGAACAGAATTTCTTACATGTTTGGGCCCATGATGAGCACCATGTTTGATGCCTCTGATAAAAAGATATTGTTGGGCTGCAAGGAAAAAAGACAGATGAAAAAATAGCTCCAGTGGACAGAATTTCAAGCATATCGATGAGGAGAAAGTATAACAAAAGGTTTAGATGTCTAATCTGGTACAAGTAATCGAATTATAGAAAATAAAGAGTTACGTACAACAAAGTCATTGTGTATAGTCTCTAGGATAGGGTGTCTTCCAGCATCAATTGCCAGTGGGCCATTATCTATAAGTAAAAGTGACAGTATCAAGGATATCTTGTATTGAACATCCAAAGTCATGAGTTTTAATGCCAGAGGATAGCAACTTGCCTGTGAATTCAGGTCTAGTATAACGATCAGCAGGCTTTGTGGAAATGGCATGTGCAAATGAATTAACAATCATATCCAAAAGGCATAAGACCTCTGCCAGCAGTGTGAGTGCAGAAACATCCTCTCGTATGGCATCTACTAATTCTGCATTTAATATAGAGACATCAGTAATCTATATTTGCATAAGATATAAGAAGATATAAGCTAGATACCAAAAGGTCAGTACATATGTCTAAACATCATCATTTATCAATTACTCAAGCTTATAGAAGGCATTGAAACCAATAAAACAATAACATAAAAAAGTTCAACAAGATCCATGCTTTTCCTATAACTGCACTAAGCTAGTATTATCAGCAATGCATATACAAGATGTTCAATGGTCCACATAACTGCAGTAAAGACAATATTGAATGTTACCACTTGGACAATCTAAAAAGAACATGCTACATTTCAAATACAAAAAAAAAAAAAAAAAAAAAAAAAAAAAAAACGGAAAAAGAAAAATTGTCCTGTCTGAGAAAAACATCATTTACAAGTTGTTTGTGATGAATCAAGTTAGCATTAATAAGCTTCAATTCATGGTTCAATCCCATAAAATGATGCACTGAAATTGTTTCGGAGTCCAATCACAAGAAAATATTCATGTTCTGAGTAGATAAAGCCCATTGACACAGATGGTTTCAGGACCTGATAATTGATATTCACTTGGCCACTAATATTTAACCTTCTCCTTCCCAAATCAAGAAACTTGAACATGATGAAAAGGAATGTTCTCCCATGTGTTGTTCAACTAATAATAAGCACTGCTTCAAAATAATAAGTTACTTGTTTAATTAAGATTCACTCATTTACTGACACTCCATTCTGAAATGTAAACAAAAGCAAACACTTGAAGCTTATGACAGATATAGACTTAAAGAAGCTTATGATACAAAAGATGTATGTTTAGTATAACCTTCTAGGCAAACTTCTGTACGTAAGTAGCATTCTGCAGCTGCAGACTTATTTCTAACGTTTAGCTGTAAATTTCATGCAATGGAGAAACATAAACATAAATTTTAGTATTCATTTAAGTTACAAAGATATTGACACTTGAAAATACCATAGACACACATTGAAAATACCATAGACACACATGCACAATTTATATTGAAACTTGAATTTATTCATCTGAAAAAAAGAAGGCTCAAGTCAAATATATTGCAAAACTCATAAAGAGGTGCAATGTTTCTTTTACTCTTATTTACATTGATGGCCCTGATTTTTGTTAAAAAGAAACGCTTGAGATAAAACACATAAATGTCATAAAAATTTAAGAAATAAAGGCACCGACAGCATCGTACATGATGATTAAACCCATATCTAAGATTTCTGTATGAGTTGGTCTAGTACAAATGATCCCCTTAATTTACACCTCCTAAAATCAAGGTTGTATTTGAAAATGGTCTCTATGAACCTGCTTAACCTAATGTCCTAGTCAAAGTTAAAAATGGGAGTTCAATCCGCTCCACAAATGAAGTTCTTAGGAAACTCAAGCAAAATATATCATTCCAAAGATCATAGATTGAACTTATTATAGTTGCAAAGGCACCATTATAAGTTGTAAGTTATAACCAATCAAGGAAATGCCAACGTTCACAGACAATTAAGGCAGTACAGAGAGAATGGAAGTTGACAGTTATATTTTGAAAGGACAAGATGGCTTGAATAATACAACAATCATTATTTAGAGTGGGTAAATTAAATTTAATTCAATTAAAAGATTGAGCCATAGTACTCACAGAAGCAAGCTCCAAGGTTGAGCAGTGTATATTATTCCCATGTTTCAATACCTATGTCAGAATATCATATAGAACTCAGAAATAAACTAGTAAAGAGATGTTAGTAATTTAGAGAAAGCTTGTCCTAAAGGCTAAACCTGAATGAACTGGCTAGGAAGTTTCCCTTGAATGTCCTTATGTGGCATGCTAAAGTAGAACCCTTGCCTATTGTTAAACGGGAGTTTCAAATTGGGCAACTTGAAATCTTCACGATACTTGTTAGCAAGATTATGTATAGCTGTTGATTCAAGATTGACAAAACATTGGCCTTATTACTTTATCTCAAATATAAGAAAACAAAAGACAAATTGAACATGAAGGGAAATGGACAGAATTTTAATTGCATATGTAAAAAGAAAACACCTTCACTAGTATCACAAAATGATCTCCGTGCAATATCCAAGAGTCCATCGATTCCAGCTTTGACAGCAAAACACTGCTGTGTGCGGGCTACAAATGAAACCCGTGCATGAAGCACATCCTCATCAATAACCTCTCCAATCCTGAAACAAATGAAGCTTCTTGATTTGCCAAACAATGTATATACATCACACAACAAGCAAGAAACTTCAAACATGTACTTTCATGGCAATATGACAACTACTTTAGTACTCGTAGTTGAATTTCTTCCGCTTTATATGACTATCAATTAAATAAAGTTATTTTATGTAGCAATCCATGCAGAATTTATCATCAACTTCATCAGAAGTTAGACCCTAGCACTTGGGTTTGACCATCCCTATCCAATTTAATGGAAATATGATAACTACTTTAGTGCTTGGGGTTGAATCTCTTAGACTGTATAATCCACTTGATCGGGTAAGTTGGACACTAACACCTGAGGTTGAGTGCATGCCTCTGTAACATGCAGTGTTTCGGGTTGTAGGCAAGAGTCGCAAGACCATAGTCATGGTACCGAAATCATATAAAGAGATTAAAGATATATTTGGAATTGGTTGAACCTAAACAAACCTCCCCCATATAAATGAGCATATTAAAACATGTAATTATGCCGTTTCCAGTGGAATATGCCTCTTATGTACGAGGAAAAGGTTAAATCAGACAATAAGAAAAAGATTGTAAAAGGAGGCAATTTGTTTTAATTAGTAACTGTAGTTAAGGATTTTTTTTGGTGAACCGTGAAGGGATCTTTTTATAAGGGTAGAACTGATGTACTTTCATATTGCAAAAAGAGGGGACAAAGGTGAATGTTTTGGAACATAATGGAAATATTTCGGTTGTGGTCATTTCCCAGAGAACTCCGCCTATGTCTTACATGGCCGGTCCCAAGCCCGGATAAAGGAGGAGGGGGAGGGCGTCAGGTAGTCGACAGCCGGCACTCCATGATCACGTCGAATCCTTATGAAAATGAATCCAGAACAAAATCGCGCTAAAGCTAGGGCGTCACCCGTAAGTGGCGCGCTGTGTGGCCTGAGCACAGTGATAAGTGAGCAAGGGTCGCTGTATCTCCATCGGCACCCGGATGCAGTGTTAAATGAGCAAGGGGGCCATAGAAACTTCTTTTCGAACGACTCCACTCAAAGTTGTTTGGGAGCATATGCTCCTATCAACTTTACCCGGGACACAAAAGAAGTACTTTGATCCTATTAGACGGGGGAGGGTGAAGAAGCTAGGACAGAAGGGTAGAGTTCAAGAGAGCAAAATGCGTTTAGGAACGTGGAATATAGGAACCTTAACGGGAAAATCTATGGAAGTAGTGGAAGTTATGGTGAGGAGAAGGATAAATATTATGTGCCTACAAGAAACTAAGTGGGTTGGTAGTAAGGCAAAGGATCTAGAAAACTCAGGGTTTAAACTTTGGTATTCGGGCACAAATAGAACGAGAAACGGTGTTGGCATCATCGTGGACAAGACCTTGGTACAAGATGTTGTAGATGTCAAGAGGGTAGGAGATAGAATCATGGCAATCAAGATTGTAATAGGACAAGAACTTATCAATGTGATTAGTGCGTACGCACCTCAAGTAGGGTTGGATACGAGTTCGAAGGAGAAATTTTGGGAAGATCTTGGAGACTTGGTGCAAGGAATTGCTCAGACGGAGAAGTTATTTTATAGGAGGAGATTTAAATGGACACGTGGGCAGGGAGACAGGCAACTATGGAGGTTTTCATGGTGGCCATGGTTTTGGGGAGAGAAACGAGGATGGGGAAGCTATCTTGGATTTTGCAATGGCATATGATCTCTTCTTAGCCAACACCTTCTTTAAGAAGAGAGAAAGAACATGTGATCACCTACAAGAGTGGGTCGTCAAAAACACAAATAGATTTTCTTCTAATGAGGAAAGGGGATCGTATAACTTGTAAGGATTGCAAAGTTATACCAGGAGAGAGCGTGGCTAATCAACATCGCTTGTTGGTGATGGATGTACATATCAAAAGAGTAAGACAAAAGAACAAGACTTGGAAGTGCCCAAGGACTAGATGGTGGAATCTAAAAGAAGAAAAACAAGTCATTTTCAAAGAGAAGGTAATCACCCAATGTGTGTGGGATAGAGAGGGGGAAGCTAGCCAAATGTGGGATTCCATGGCTAGTTGTATCCGAAAAGTAGCAAAAGAGGTATTAGGAGAGTCCAAGGGCTTTGCCCCACACCAAAAGGAATCTTGGTGGTGGAATGAGGAGGTACAAACAAAGGTGAAGGCTAAGAAGGAATGTTGTAAAACCTTATACAAGGAGAGGACTGATGAAAATGGGTGAAAGGTATAGAAAAGCGAAGCAAGAGGCGAAGAAAGCTGTCAGAGAAGCTAAGTTAGCGGCTTACGACGATATGTATATAAACGACTAGATACCAAAGAAGGAGAGTTGGATATCTATAAACTATCTAGAGCAAGGGAAAAGAAGACAAGGGACCTAAACCAAGTGAGGTGCATCAAGGATGAGGATGGAAAGGTTCTTGCTACAGAGAACGCGGTTAAAAGACAGATGGAGAGGTTATTTTCATAATCTTTTCAATGAAGGACATGAAATGAGTGCTTCTTTAGGGGAGTTGAGTAACTCAGAAGAGTGTAGAAACTACTCTTTTTATCGTCGAATCCGGAAGGAAGAAGTGGTTGTAGCTTTGAAGAAGATGAAGCATAAAAAAGCAATAGGCCCAGACGATATACCAATCGAAGTGTGGAAACTTTTGGGAGAGACAGGTATAACATGGCTCACTGACCTTTTCAATAGGATTTTGAAAACGAAGAAGATGCCAAATGAGTGGCGAATGAGCACTTTGGTGCCTATCTACAAGAATAAGGGCGACGTACAAAATTGCATGAACTATAGGGGTATTAAGCTAATGAGTCATACAATGAAGCTCTGGGAGAGAGTCATTGAGCATAGATTGAGGCAAGAGACACGGGTTTCGGACAACCAATTCGGGTTCATGCCAGGGCGCTCAACCATGGAGGCAATCTATCTCTTACGAAGATTGATGGAAAGATATAGAGATGGGAAAAAGGATTTACACATGGTCTTTATAGATTTGGAAAAAGCGTATGATAGGGTCCCAAGAGACATTCTTTGGAGGATTTTAGAGAAGAAAGGAGTACGAGTAGCATATATCCAAGCTATAAAGGATATGTATGAAGGAGCAAAGACTGCCGTAAGAACTCATGAAGGACAAACCGAAAGCTTTCCCATAACTGTAGGATTACATCAAGGCTCATCCTTAAGTCCTTACCTTTTTGCGTTGGTAATGGATGAGTTAACACGACATATTCAAGATGATATTCCTTGGTGTATGCTTTTCGCAGACGATATAGTGTTGATAGATGAAACTCAGGAAGGGGTAAATGCAAAAGCTTAACCTTTGGAGAGAAGTGTTGGAATCTAAAGGTCTTCGCCTAAGCCGATCAAAGACAGAAATATATGGAGTGCAAGTTCAGTGCAAATGGAGGCCAAAACGAGTTAGGGGTGAGGATCGGAGATCAAGAAATACCAAAGAGCGACCGTTTTCGTTACCTAGGATCTATCTTGCAAAAGAACGGAGAATTAGATGGAGATCTCAACCATAGAATACAAGCTGGATGGATGAAGTGGAAGAGTGCATCCGGCGTGTTGTGTGACCGCCGTATGCCACTGAAGCTCAAGGGAAAATTTTATAGGACGGCAATAAGGCCGGCGATGCTGTATGGCACAGAATGTTGGGCGGTGAAACATCAACACGTACACAAAATGGGTGTAGCGGAGATGAGGATGCTTCGTTGGATGTGTGGGCACACGAGAAAGGATAAGATTAGGAATGAGGATATCCGGGGTAAAGTAGGAGTAGCCGAAATTGAAGGAAAGATGAGAGAAAATCGGTTACGGTGGTTTGGACATGTGCAAAGAAGGCCTACTGACGTTCCGATTAGAAGATGCGACTATGGGACAGAGGTTCAGGGCCGAAGGGGTAGAGGAAGACCTAGGAAAACTTTGGAAGAGACTCTAAGAAAAGACTTAGAGTACTTGGATCTAACGAAGGACATGACACAGGATCGAGCACAATGGCGTTCTAAGATTCATATAGCCGATCCCACTCAGTGACTTGGATTTTCCAAGTCTCCAACCGAGAAGTTTTCCTCACTCGGGAAATTAAGGGAACACTACCCCAACCTACATGCTCCACTCAGAAAGCTTCAACATACAAGCTTTAACAAAAGAAAATTCAAAGAACTTAGCGAAGAAGGCTTTGGTGTATTTAACACAATACGTTGAAATGAAGGAAAGCTTATTTATTGATATCCCCGATAAGCTACAAATATGTACATATACATGAGTCAAAATAAAGCATACAAGAGGGAGCCTTCACAAAGGTTGCTTAGGAGAAGTCTCAGCAGTCGGTAGAGCCCCAGAAAGAGAAGGCACCGGAGGGGGATCATTTGGAGCCTCAGTACTGGACAGAACCCTAGAAGGAGGAGGCATCAGAGGTTGATCATTTGGAGCTTCATTACGCGGTACAGCCCCAGAAGACGAAGGCAATAAATGCCTTTGGAACAAACCCACAAATCTCTGATGATCAAGTAAAACCTGACCATCAGTTTCCTTCATCTGGTCAAGCTTCCTCTTCATGTTTGTAGCATAGTCATGTGCGAGCCGGTGCAACTGTTTATTCTCATGCTTGAGCCCTCTAATCTCCTGTTTGAGACTCATCACTTCAGCCGCCAATGATTCAACTTGGCGGGTTCGAGCAAATAGGCGTTGGGCCATATTAGACACAGAACCTGCACACTGAACACTGAGAGCCAGCGAATCCTTAACAGCTAACTCATCAGACCGTTTGGAAAGTAGTCTATTATCTTTGGGAGTGAGAAGGTTCCTGGCCACCACCGCAGCGGTCATATCATTCTTCATCACGGAATCCCCAACGGTAAGAGGACCAGTAGGGGAGACGAAGGATGGGCGCCATATGTTGTCTGGAGAAGGCGGGGCTGCCTCTTCAACAAGGTTCAAGTCAAAACGACGGTCGGAGGGGCCAGACATTTTCAAAGGTGTTGAAGAGAGAAGAGGTCGGACAAATCAAGATCTTAGAAGTGCAAGAATGAAGCTTCTACTGGTGGAGATTCAAGTGTGCTTTGGAACTTAATGCCAGCCCCTATAAAAATCTGCACTCGACGAAGCTTCAGAAATCGAAGAGGCGCCTGCTCAGAAATCGAAGAGGCGTTTGCTTTCTCAAAAGCTGGGCTGCTTAGAGATCACGAGGGTTGATCTCAGAAATCGAAGAGGCGTTTGCTTTCTCAAAAGTTGGGTTGCTCAAAGACCACGAAGGCCGATCTCAAAAATCGAAGAGGCGCTCGCTTTCTCAAAAGCTGGGCTCCTCAGAGACCACGAGGGCCGATCTCAGAAATCGAAGAGGCACCTACTTTTCCAGCCTTTTCCAGCCTTGTCAGCACCTGTCACACGCACACTCAGTTTTGCGGAAATTATGGGCATTCTGTCAAAGACTTTTGGGGAAGTAGAAAACACATGAATCTTACTGTTCAATCACCCACTTCCCACACGCAACAATAGCTCATGGGTACCACAAATAACTTTGCCAAAGTTGAGCACGTGAAGCTTGCAGCTCCCACTACATCGCTCTGACCAAGAAGGGTAAAAGAATAGCAAAGAAACAGCACTAACAAAGTTTAGACCCATAAATTTTGAAGGTCTAGCTACCATATTATTACCCACAAGGGTAAAGGAACAGTACCACTGCTGGATAATTGGAAAGTCCCTGTGTGTCAACCTCTGTGCTTCGTGGCAAGGTAGACTAGCAAACATGCCCAACCTTTACTCACATTCGAGAAAACACTCCCAATAAGATTGCTTGCTCCAAAATCGAAGAGGCACCGTCCTCCGAATCTCGAGAGCCAGACTCCCAACATGACTACTTTCTTAAAAATCGAAGAGAGGGTAAAGGAACAGTACCATTGCTGGATAATTGGAAAGTCCCTGTGTGTCAACCTCTGTGCTTCGTGGCAAGGTAGACTAGCAAACATGCCCAACCTTTACTCACATTCGAGAAAACACTCCCAACAAGATTGCTTGCTCCAAAATCGAAGAGGCACCGCCCTCCGAATCTCGAGAGCCAGACTCCCAACATGATTACTTTCTCAAAAATCGAAGAGACACTGCTCCCCGAATCTCGAGAGCCAGACCCCCAGCATGATTGCTTTCTCAAAAATCGATGAGGCATCGTTCTCCGAATCAATCGAAGAGGCGCTCGCTTTCTCAAGAGCTGGGCTGCTCAGAGACCACGAGGGCCGATCTCAGAAATCGAAGAGGCACCTACTTTTCTAGCCTTGTCAGCACCTGTCACACGCACACTCAGCTTAGCAGAAATTATGGGCATTCTGTCGAAGACTTCTGGTGAAGTAGAAATCACATGAATCTTACTGTTCAATCACCCACTTCCCACACGCAACAATAGCTCATGGGTACCACAAATAACTTTGCCAAAGTTCTCTGCCAAAGTTGAGCACGTGAAGCTTGCAGCTCCCACTACATCGCTCTGACCAAGAAAGGTAAAAGAATAGCAAAGAAACAGCACTAACAAAAGTTTAGACACATAAATTTTGAAGGTCTAGCTACCACATTATTACCCACAACTGTAAAGGAACAGTACCACTGCTGGATAATTGGAAAGTCCCTGTGTGTCAACCTCTGTGCTTCGTGGCAAGGTAGACTAGCAAACATGCCCAACCTTTACTCACATTCGAGAAAACACTCCCAATAAGATTGCTTGCTCCAAAATCGAAGAGGCACCGTCCTCCGAATCTCGAGAGCCAGACTCCCAACATGACTACTTTCTCAAAATCGAAGAGAGGGTAAAGGAACAGTACCATTGCTGGATAATTGGAAAGTCCCTGTGTGTCAACCTTTGTGCTTCGTGGCAAGGTAGACTAGCAAAACATGCCCAACCTTTACTCACATTCGAGACAACACTCCCAACAAGATTGCTTGCTCCAAAATCGAAGAGGCACCGCCCTCCGAATCTCGAGAGCCAGACTCCCAACATGATTACTTCCTCAAAAATCGAAAAGACACTGCTCTCCGAATCTCGAGAGTCATACCCCCAGCATGATTGCTTTCTCAAAAATCGAAGATGCATCGTTCTCCGAATCTCGAGAGCCAGATACCACAGACCACTTTTTCAAAGTGCTCTGACAGAGTTAAAACATGTGAAACTGGCAGCTCCCACTACCGTGCTATGACCAAGCAGGGTAAAGGAATAGCATTACTACTTGTTGTTAGGGAGACTCCTATATATGTCGACCTCCATCCCCAACGGACAGGCAGACCTGCAAAAATGCTCAACCCTTCATCATATCTGAGAGGGCACTCCCAACGAAGCCTTTCGAAATATTCAGCTTTCTTTCCCCCCGATAATACCTCTGCAAACAAGCTATACTAGAGCAAGAATATCTCATATCATCAGGGTTAAAAGCAAGAGTATCCCATATCATGCTTTTTCCCTGTCTTTTCTTGTGGCCTTGTTTTTACCTGCAAGACAAGGAGAAAGAGAGCAATCAGTCAGCACTTGGAATCAAGCTTCCAGCCAGGAACTGACTGCCTGGAACCCCTTACCTGATTACTTACCTGGCATTGCTCTCGAGTACTCATCTTCAACATCTTATGTTTCCAGGGAAGATTCCGCATCTGCTTGAGGAACAGATAGGGCAAGTGCGAAGGATACAAGGAAGCATGTGGAGACAAGCGTAACAGCACACGTGCCGATACATTCATTACTCTGTCAAACGCAAAAGTATCCCATATCAGCAGGGTGGAACGTACTCTAGATTTGATGGACTTGTTTTGACCCTCAAATTCTTCAGTCGGCCTTATACTCTGGAGGAAACCAGAAAACCCTCCAGCTCAGTTCAAGAATAAGCCTGTGGAAAGTTACTTCTTCAAAAGCAAAAGTATCTCATATCATCTCTTTTCATTTTTCTTCTCTTTATCCTTCATGCTGCTGCAAGATGGGGAGAAGGTGAACAATCAGTCGGAGCTTTGATTGCTTACCTTGTCTGTCACCTCTTTCAGCAGACCCCCTAGCTCGGCGACTTGGGGGACTCCTACTACATGGTTTGTATCGCGCTTGACCAAGCCTGAAACTACAAGTAAGCTTCAAGTGAAATTGATACATTACCTTGTGCATCTCCACCAGTTAAAGATACCACCCCTGGATGGAGGAAGAGTACTTCCAGAGAAGATGCCACATCTACCTATGAGACAGATAAGGCAAGTCAAGACGACACCACACTCCGATACTTAGAAGTTTCGTGATTACGAGATCATTCTCCCACGATATTTCCTAATGTCATTTGTACTAAATCATTCACTTGTACTCACTAAATGAGAGCTTGAACCTATGTACTTGTGTAAACCCTTCACAATTAATGAGAACTCTTCTATTCCGTGGACGTAGCCAATCTGGGTGAACCACGTACATCTTGTGTTTGCTTTCCTATCTCTATCCATTTATATACTTATCCACACTAATGACCGGAGCAATCTAGCGAAGATCACAAAAAGCGATCGTTTTCGCTACCTAGGATCTATCTTGCAAGAGAACGGAGAATTAGATGGAGATCTCAACCATAGAATACGAGCTGGATGGAAAGAGTGCATCCGGCGTGTTTGTGTGACCGTCATAGGCCACTGAAGCTCAAGGGAAAATTTTATAGGACGGCAATAAGGCTAGCGATGTTGTATGGCACAGAATGTTGGGTGGTGAAGCATCAACACGTACACAAAATGGGTGTAGCGGAGATGAGGATGCTTCGTGGGATGTGTGGGCACACGAGAAAGGATAAGATTGGGAATGAGGATATCCGAGGTAAAGTAGGAGTAGCCGAAATTGTAGGAAATATGAGAGAAAATCGGCTCCGGTGATTTTGAACATGTGCAAAGAAGGCCGACTGACGCTCCGGTTCGAAGATGTGACTACGGGACAGAGGTTCAGGGCCGAAGGGGTAGAGGAAGACCTAGGACAACTTTGGAAGAGACTCTAAGAAAAGACTTAGAGTACTTGGATCTAACGGAGGACATGACACAAAACCGAGCGCAATGGCGTTCTAGGATTCATATAGCCGACCCCACTTAGTGGGAAAAGGCTTTGTTGTTGTTGTTGTTGTTGTTGTTGGTCATTTCCCAGAGGATGCCTGGACTAATTTGGCCACTTAATTTGATCCTATTTGGATATTAGAATTTATTGAACAAAACATATGAAGAAAGTTGAGGCTCCACCATAAAACCAATTGGCAATATGGGAAGTAGCCCAACTTACTTATAAGCCCATGCAAGATCCCTCCTCCCATCAATGTGGGACTCATTCTCAACAACATATTCCAGTGCCAAATTCAAATGAGTTAGGGATGTCAGAGAAACAAATTTACAAATGATCCACCAGGACTATAGAAGCTTGGAAGCAAACCTCTTTCTAATGGCAGCATACTTCTCATTTTCACATACAGACTGGTAAACATTTGCAAGAAGAAAACACTTTGCATCTTTAAGAACCTGAGATTTTACGAAACATTGATACTTTGGATCATGTTTTGAGCACTGTAAAATTTGTCTATGTGTTGGAAAGAAAATAATGCTTGACATCGACATCTGTGTAAAGTGATTTTTACCTTTGAGAGTAAAGGCAAGGCATCTAGAGCAGTCTTCAGAAGAATGATACTTGAAACCAACACTTGGCTTTTTCTAGCACAATCAACACCCACAACTTTGTTTGTAATTTTCTTTGGCTTGAAGCAAAAGTGACAAAGCACCCTATCTGCATGAGCACATACACAACTCCACTCGTTCATGATATGAATAGATAGATTTACTGTATTAAGGCAAAACTTTCCTCTGCTTTCTTCTACCCTCTTACCACTCTCTTTTGGAAATTTACGCAGAACCTGAGCTAGTCCAAAGAACAGCTGTTCGTTGCTCATGAGCTCATCCTAAAATCAAATATTAAGGAGACTTAGGATCGTAAAACTATTGCTGCAAAATACAATATCCATCTCAGGAGCTTCAAGATTCAGAACTTTATATGTATTCTAAGAGGATACAAAGTAGACATTATCATTGTATTCTTGCTTTTTCATGTATAACCATGCCCAAAAAATAAACACAAAGTCTGCCCAACCAACTTTGCAATTCAAATAACATGATATTTTTTCATTCTTCTTAAAAATAGATAGAGAAATAAAGGTTAACAAACTGAAAAGTATCTCAAATGGATAAAATAATACATAGATCCACAAGAGATAGTTGAGAGCAAATAACACTGACCAGGCAATCTAGACGAGCATTTATAGTTTCAATATCTTTTAAAGGCTGCAAAAGATTGGCACGAAGAAGTCTGGACCTGCAGTTATACATTGCTCCACATTAGATTTATATAAACAAGAAATTGGAAAGGAGAGATCTACCACCAGAGAATTGTAGCTATAAAAAAAATATATGAAATCCAGGATAATAATACAGTGAACCAGCCCCTCATACCCTCCAACCGTTTTTGTTGTCTTAAACATGTTTAATAAACTTCTTTTCTTGTTGCTGGTGCCCCAAAGTGTCGAATGAAGTGGCTCAATGATTTCCAAGTTTTGGACACTGTAAACAAATTTCAATTGTAAAAGTCATTACCAAAGAGATTACTAATAAAATATATGTTGACCCATTGTAGATTTATCTGAAATAATTTAGAAAAATGTCCTAATATCACAAAAAATCGTCTGTTTAAAGAATAAAAAGGGAGCTCAGCCCTAGATAAATTCAAAGAAGGGAAGGGAGCGTACCTAGTCGCATCAATATTCATATGAGCAAATGATCCATTAAAAGTGACCTGGAGAAGGGATATGTGCGATGAAGTAAATGTTTAATTCCTCACAAAGACAAAAACAGGGTTGGATGGCAGTGCAGACTGATGGGAGTTCTTAGCCGGAAGAGAAGATAAAAATACAGAAAAATAATGTTATTGATCTACTCTGTGTACAGATAGCTGATGATATTATTGATATACAAATGATAACTTTCTTCTGATATTATTTTACAGGTCATGAAAGAATGTGCATTAACTCGTACCACAAGTGAGTGGTTTGTGACGATGACTCCCTTCTCTGCTTCTATCCTGTTCATCAGGCACTTGATCCATTACCAACAGAAAAGGCAAGGTTAACAGATTCTATAACAATAAAACGTGCACATTGCTAACAAGTTCAACATAAGGCAACTTAAAAGGTACGGAAAAAAAAAACACATTTGACATGACATGATCTTTCTAGTAAATAGAGCTAGAATAGCATCAGGGGAAAAACTGTTAAAATATCTAATGTTCTTTGAATTATTGCTTAAAGAAACTCTTAAACGCCAAAATATGAATATGGTGTAACTGCCTACATCATAATAAAAACAAATGCCTAAACTTTGGAACACCATAACGTTAGAAAGCTCAAGATCTGAAAGTACCACTTAATTGTAGCTGCAGCAGCAGCTAAGCAGAGGTAATACTGCTTGTAATAAGTATCCAATCCTAGTGCTGAAGGTTCCTTGGCTGATAAATTTTTAATCAGTACGGCACCCTGGAACCCAACAATGGCACACTAAGCTGTGAGCTTCAAGAGTAAACACCCATTTTGATGCAAACATTAGAGGATAAGGAATCTCTAACATAACCTTAGTGTCATCGAAGCAACCACGGGCCATTACAACCTGCAGAACAGCACACTTGTTTAGTGGATTAAACAAGTAGTCATAAGTGAGGTAACCTCACAGGCATCCAGTATTCATGTACACCAAAAAACAAGCATGAGAGAGAGAGAGAGAGAGAGAGCTAGCAATGTTAATGATTAAGGAACACAACCTTCTTGACTGTAGCATAAAATCTGTCCACCAACTCTGAAACTCCAACCATACCATCAGGTGCCAGCTTGTTCGGTGAAACAATAATCACCATAGGATCATAGAATTGCAGCAAGGTTTTTGTATTCTGATATGAACTGCTAGTTTCAATATATTGAGAAAGATGCAGAGAAGCTAATCTTAAATCAAAAGCTGCCACTCCAACCTGTCACAACATTTAGTGTCAGCTACGTATCCTGAATTCGTTGATCTCTATGCACCAAAACAATTTTAATACAGCTCTCACATAACCTTCGGGTAATCAGCTGGAAGGGACCATAATCAAAAGTAAGAAAATTCTTTGATTTTAGTTACAATATCGCAAACCAGTAAAAATCAAGAAAATATGTGAGAACAATAGACCATATTTGGTTTAGCAACAGGATTATTTTTCCCTTTTATTTGCAAAAAAATTAGAGTAACGAACTAATTGTAATACAATTTTCCTATACTCTTTAACCTGATTTCACCAGACATCGAAAGACTATTGCATAAGCATATAGCCTAGAAATTGAAAATTTAAGGGCCAATTTTCCCCTAGGTATGAAGGATGTATAACGCAATTCATACACAATTCTAGCAACGTGATAATTCGAACTCATCCGAAAAGGTGGAAAATGCTGTAGAATCCGTTTCGTAACCGAGTAATTCAAAGGAAGCAAACAATTAACACAAGTCCAAATGCTACGTTTTTTGAATTTTGAATCTCCATGCTCTTTCATTTTCCTGCGTTTTCTCGGGAAACAAACAAATCGAAGAAAATGAGCGGGAAATATTGAGAGATGGAAAAGCGACCGAGCGACCGAGCTTCACCTCCTTGGCTCTGTTCTCGATGAGACCGACGACGATGCTCGACCTCTCTCCTCCGTCGTCTTCCATTTCCTTCCTACTCTCTCTCTCTCTCTCTCTCTCTCTCTCTCTCTCTCTCTCTCTCTCTCTCTGCTCTCTCCTTTGCTTCAACGAGTTTGTATCGCGCGCCAGCTTCTGTTCCGGCCGAGGGTGCTACTTATATACACGCGACTGTTGCTCGGGTCGCGTGTCGCGTGCGCAGTGAGCGAAGTAAAAAACGACACTCGCTCACAGTTTCTGCGAAGTGTCGTTCACAGGCGTGAGTTGAAATAGTTTTGATCTAAGGAACAGATTTCTGCCAAATTGCAGTGCATTTTTCAAGTTCAGCTTCTCCAAATTATTCCAAAACCACAAATTCACAAAACTCTTTATATATTCTTCATCATACATGTGAAGAATTATCAAGCAACACTCATATGAGCTAATTCCTTATTACCAAACAATCAAATCTTGATCTTTTTGGACACTTTTGGAGTTCGCATCAGAGAATTAATTCTTGTAAAGAGTAACTCGAGAAATCGCAACCCTATTCACTTATTTAATACAAATTTATTATTTTGTACACGTTTTCTTGTTTCATTGGTTTTTAGATTTGGAAAAAGCGTATGATAGGGTCCCAAGAGACATTCTTTGGAGGATTTTAGAGAAGAAAGGAGTACGAGTAGCATATATCCAAGCTATAAAGGATATGTATGAAGGAGCAAAGACTGCCGTAAGAACTCATGAAGGACAAACCGAAAGCTTTCCCATAACTGTAGGATTACATCAAGGCTCATCCTTAAGTCCTTACCTTTTTGCGTTGGTAATGGATGAGTTAACACGACATATTCAAGATGATATTCCTTGGTGTATGCTTTTCGCAGACGATATAGTGTTGATAGATGAAACTCAGGAAGGGGTAAATGCAAAGCTTAACCTTTGGAGAGAAGTGTTGGAATCTAAAGGTCTTCGCCTAAGCCGATCAAAGACAGAATATATGGAGTGCAAGTTCAGTGCAAATGGAGGCCAAAACGAGTTAGGGGTGAGGATCGGAGATCAAGAAATACCAAAGAGCGACCGTTTTCGTTACCTAGGATCTATCTTGCAAAAGAACGGAGAATTAGATGGAGATCTCAACCATAGAATACAAGCTGGATGGATGAAGTGAAAGAGTGCATCCGGCGTGTTGTGTGACCGCCGTATGCCACTGAAGCTCAAGGGAAAATTTTATAGGACGGCAATAAGGCCGGCGATGCTGTATGGCACAGAATGTTGGGCGGTGAAACATCAACACGTACACAAAATGGGTGTAGCGGAGATGAGGATGCTTCGTTGGATGTGTGGGCACACGAGAAAGGATAAGATTAGGAATGAGGATATCCGGGGTAAAGTAGGAGTAGCCGAAATTGAAGGAAAGATGAGAGAAAATCGGTTACGGTGGTTTGGACATGTGCAAAGAAGGCCTACTGACGTTCCGATTAGAAGATGCGACTATGGGACAGAGGTTCAGGGCCGAAGGGGTAGAGGAAGACCTAGGAAAACTTTGGAAGAGACTCTAAGAAAAGACTTAGAGTACTTGGATCTAACGAAGGACATGACACAGGATCGAGCACAATGGCGTTCTAAGATTCATATAGCCGATCCCACTCAGTGACTTGGATTTTCCAAGTCTCCAACCGAGAAGTTTTCCTCACTCGGGAAATTAAGGGAACACTACCCCAACCTACATGCTCCACTCAGAAAGCTTCAACATACAAGCTTTAACAAAAGAAAATTCAAAGAACTTAGCGAAGAAGGCTTTGGTGTATTTAACACAATACGTTGAAATGAAGGAAAGCTTATTTATTGATATCCCCGATAAGCTACAAATATGTACATATACATGAGTCAAAATAAGCACACAAGAGGGAGCCTTCACAAAGGTTGCTTAGGAGAAGTCTCAGCAGTCGGTAGAGCTCCAGAAAGAGAAGGCACCGGAGGGGGATCATTTGGAGCCTCAGTACTGGACAGAACCCTAGAAGGAGGAGGCATCAGAGGTTGATCATTTGGAGCTTCATTACGCGGTACAGCCCCAGAAGACGAAGGCAATAAATGCCTTTGGAACAAACCCACAAATCTCTGATGATCAAGTAAAACCTGACCATCAGTTTCCTTCATCTGGTCAAGCTTCCTCTTCATGTTTGTAGCATAGTCATGTGCGAGCCGGTGCAACTGTTTATTCTCATGCTTGAGCCCTCTAATCTCCTGTTTGAGACTCATCACTTCAGCCGCCAATGATTCAACTTGGCGGGTTCGAGCAAATAGGCGTTGGGCCATATTAGACACAGAACCTGCACACTGAACACTGAGAGCCAGCGAATCCTTAACAGCTAACTCATCAGACCGTTTGGAAAGTAGTCTGTTATCTTTGGGAGTGAGAAGGTTCCTGGCCACCACCGCAGCGGTCATATCATTCTTCATCACGGAATCCCCAACGGTAAGAGGACCAGTAGGGGAGACGAAGGATGGGCGCCATATGTTGTCTGGAGAAGGCGGGGCTGCCTCTTCAACAAGGTTCAAGTCAAAACGACGGTGAGGGGCCAGACATTTTTAAAGGTGTTGAAGAGAGAAGAGGTCGGACAAATCAAGATCTTAGAAGTGCAAGAATGAAGCTTCTACTGGTGGAGATTCAAGTGTGCTTTGGAACTTAATGCCAGCCCCTATAAAAATCTGCACTCGACGAAGCTTCAGAAATCGAAAAGGCGCCTGCTCAGAAATCGAAGAGGCGTTTGCTTTCTCAAAAGCTGGGCTGCTTAGAGATCACGAGGGTTGATCTCAGAAATCGAAGAGGCGTTTGCTTTCTCAAAAGTTGGGCTGCTCAAAGACCACGAAGGCCGATCTCAAAAATCGAAGAGGCGCTCGCTTTCTCAAAAGCTGGGCTCCCCAGAGACCACGAGGGCCGATCTCAGAAATCGAAGAGGCACCTACTTTTCCAGCCTTTTCCAGCCTTGTCAGCACCTGTCACACGCACACTCAGTTTTGCGGAAATTATGGGCATTCTGTCAAAGACTTCTGGGGAAGTAGAAAACACATGAATCTTACTGTTCAATCACCCACTTCCCACACGCAACAATAGCTCATGGGTACCACAGATAACTTTGCCAAAGTTCTCTGCCAAAGTTGAGCACGTGAAGCTTGCAGCTCCCACTACATCGCTCTGACCAAGAAGGGTAAAAGAATAGCAAAGAAACAGCACTAACAAAGTTTAGACCCATAAATTTTGAAGGTCTAGCTACCATATTATTACCCACAAGGGTAAAGGAACAGTACAACTGCTGGATAATTGGAAAGTCCCTGTGTGTCAACCTCTGTGCTTCGTGGCAAGGTAGACTAGCAAACATGCCCAACCTTTACTCACATTCGAGAAAACACTCCCAATAAGATTGCTTGCTCCAAAATCGAAGAGGCACCGTCCTCCGAATCTCGAGAGCCAGACTCCCAACATGACTACTTTCTTAAAAATCGAAAGAGAGGGTAAAGGAACAGTACCATTGCTGGATAATTGGAAAGTCCCTGTGTGTCAACCTCTGTGCTTCGTGGCAAGGTAGACTAGCAAACATGCCCAACCTTTACTCACATTCGAGAAAACACTCCCAACAAGATTGCTTGCTCCAAAATCGAAGAGGCACCGCCCTCCGAATCTCGAGAGCCAGACTCCCAACATGATTACTTTCTCAAAAATCGAAGAGACACTGCTCCCCGAATCTCGAGAGCCAGACCCCCAGCATGATTGCTTTCTCAAAAATCGATGAGGCATCGTTCTCCGAATCAATCGAAGAGGCGCTCGCTTTCTCAAGAGCTGGGCTGCTCAGAGACCACGAGGGCCGATCTCAGAAATCGAAGAGGCACCTACTTTTCTAGCCTTGTCAGCACCTGTCACACGCACACTCAGCTTTGCAGAAATTATGGGCATTCTGTCGAAGACTTCTGGTGAAGTAGAAAGCACATGAATCTTACTGTTCAAATCACCCACTTCCCACACGCAACAATAGCTCATGGGTACCACAAATAACTTTGCCAAAGTTCTCTGCCAAAGTTGAGCACGTGAAGCTTGCAACTCCCACTACATCGCTCTGACCAAGAAAGGTAAAAGAATAGCAAAGAAACAGCACTAACAAAAGTTTAGACACATAAATTTTGAAGGTCTAGCTACCATATTATTACCCACAACTGTAAAGGAACAGTACCACTGCTGGATAATTGGAAAGTCCCTGTGTGTCAACCTCTGTGCTTCGTGGCAAGGTAGACTAGCAAACATGCCCAACCTTTACTCACATTCGAGAAAACACTCCCAATAAGATTGCTTGCTCCAAAATCGAAGAGGCACCGTCCTCCGAATCTCGAGAGCCAGACTCCCAACATGACTACTTTCTCAAAATCGAAGAGAGGGTAAAGGAACAATACCATTGCTGGATAATTGGAAAGTCCCTGTGTGTCAACCTTTGTGCTTCGTGGCAAGGTAGACTAGCAAACATGCCCAACCTTTACTCACATTCGAGACAACACTCCTAACAAGATTGCTTGCTCCAAAATCGAAGAGGCACCGCCCTCCGAATCTCGAGAGCCAGACTCCCAACATGATTACTTCCTCAAAAATCGAAGAGACACTGCTCTCCGAATCTCGAGAGCCAGACCCCCAGCATGATTGCTTTCTCAAAAATCGAAGAGGCATCATTCTCCGAATCTCGAGAGCCAGATACCACAGACCACTTTTTCAAAGTGCTCTGACAGAGTTAAAACATGTGAAACTGGCAGCTCCCACTACCGTGCTATGACCAAGCAGGGTAAAGGAATAGCATTACTACTTGTTGTTAGGGAGACTCCTATATATGTCGACCTCCATCCCCAACGGACAGGCAGACCTGCAAAAATGCTCAACCCTTCATCATCATATCTGAGAGGGCACTCCCAACGAAGCCTTTCAAAATATTCAGCTTTCTTTCCCCCCGATAATACCTCTGCAAACAAGCTATACTAGAGCAAGAATATCTCATATCATCAGGGTTAAAAGCAAGAGTATCCCATATCATGCTTTTTCCCTGTCTTTTCTTTTGGCCTTGTTTTTACCTGCAAGACAAGGAGAAAGAGAGCAATCAGTCAGCACTTGGAATCAAGCTTCCAGCCAGGAACTGACTGCCTGGAACCCCTTACCTGATTACTTACCTGGCATTGCTCTCGAGTACTCATCTTCAACATCTTATGTTTCCAGGGAAGATTCCGCATCTGCTTGAGGAACAGATAGGGCAAGTGCGAAGGATACAAGGAAGCATGTGGAGACAAGCGTAACAGCACACGTGCCGATACATTCATTAGTTTGTCAAAAGCAAAAGTATCCCATATCAGCAGGGTGGAACGTACTCTAGATTTGATGGACTTGTTTTGACCCTCAAATTCTTCAGTCGGCCTTATACTTTGGAGGAAACCAGAAAACCCTCCAGCTCAGTTCAAGAATAAGCCTGTGGAAAGTTACTTCTTCAAAAGCAAAAGTATCTCATATCATCTCTTCTCATTTTTCTTCTCTTTATCCTTCATGCTGCTGCAAGATGGGGAGAAGGTGAACAATCAGTCGG